CAGATGGTGAGAGTCACTGTTCCCACAATGACTTCCCATGGATGAGAGGCGACAAAAAGGCCATGCATTCGAAAGAGCCTGGACAACATTTTCAAGACTGTTCTGCTATCCTTAGTAAACCTGCAACAGAAGAATATCTCATATAAGCAAGTATGAGGTTCGGGGAAAAAAGACAGAGCCTAAAAATTTCTGCAAGTCATCCCTCACGAAAAAAAACCCCAATCAGTTAAGTAACAGATCAGGAATAAACCCATCTTCACCTTTCAACCTTCCATGTAAAACATATCTATTTCTTATCTTCTGAGACATAAGATGATCTGCTCCTGCCTTCTTGATCTTTTTTTTTTTTTTAATACACATCTCCCTTGTTTCTTCAATGTCTCCTCCACTCTCACATCTCTTAGTATCTTCCTATCACACAATGTTGATACCACTTTGACTTCAACTTCTTAGTTTTCCCACCTATGTAAACACTCACTAAATTCTGTTTCTTCTTTCTACTCACTCTTCCTATAAAAATATTAATTTTATTTTAACTATGTAAACGCCATCTAACCATGGCTGGTAATGTTCAGTTTCAAGCGCAAGAATTGCAATGTCATCTTCCTCTTACTATGTCTTCTCTACTTTCTGCTCAATCTATTTCAGTGACTGCAGTTAATCACATTCAAAACGGCTCTTTCTTCACCACAAACACAAGTCCTTCTCACATATAGCACGTGAGGACTGTGACAGTCCTCTTATGCCCATAACTAATTCCCAGGTTACTGATGCATTTCATCATCCCCTTTGTTTCCAACAGATAACAAACATTTGGCGGAAAATCTCACACCTCTCCTCTCTTTCACGTAACTGCAACATTTATCCTTTGCTTTTCCCCAGGTAACATAATCAACACAATGTTTTGTAAATTTATGCTCTTGTAAAACTGTTTCAAGCTGTTCCAAACTTTTCCTCAGCAGGATGGAACGTATCTTTTAATCAGGAAAACTAAGGAAAAGGCATAGCAATGTCCTACGAAAACACAAATACTTTTGAACACCACACAGTTTCAAGAAAATCAAAATTAGCACCTACTACATGACCGTATACAGTCCTAAACAGTAATACAGCTCCTAAAATTCTGACAGTTGATTTGGTTACCTAGGCAATTAACGAATTATTAGAGCGACAAAAATTTCAAAATCTTTCTTCAGATGTTTCACATTTCTAAGCAAAACTATTAAATGTAAACTGGCATCACAAAAATAAATTAAGGGAAAACGCATTTATTTGATTATAAAAATAATTATCCACAATATCTATTTTTAATTAACTGCTGCTATGAAATACAGGCTGCCTCATTTGCTGATCTTGGGGTCAACCGTGCAGCAGGAACTCCTAACCTAGAAGGACTCTTTAAAGCCTTCACGTTCATTTAACCTGCCTGAAGCGCACCTTGCTTTTTGGCTATGCAGCTGACATTTCTAGAATATACTGACAAAGGTTTCATGCTGATTCTGCACTATGGAATGCTGTAAAAAAAAATAAATAAATTTAAAAAATAATTGAAAGCATATGATCAGCCCGAATTTCAGCGCAAACCTCCCACCTCTTGCTGGCTGACTCAGCAAGCGCTATCCGGGAACCGAGGGGCAAAAGCAGCCGAGGGGGAACCTGCGGAGAGCTCACCTGGGAAGCGCACGGCGCCGCACGGGCCCCGTCACACCGCCGGGCCGCGCCCCGCGCCTTCACAACGGGAAACCGCCCCCACCGGACCCACCGCCGCAACCCTTCACGCCCCACAGAGAGGCGGGGGCCGCAGCCCTCCGGCGTGACGGAGGCAAGGCTGCCCCGCAGCCCGCTCGGGCTGGCCCAGTTTCTCCCCGCGGCCGCAAGGGCCCCCGCGCGTTGCGGGGCGGGGACGGCGAGGCCGGCGCGCTGCGGCCGGCAGGTGAGGCGGGCGGCTCCGC